CAAACTGAAACCCTAATTACAGACTAATTATGGTTTTTGCATTCCAGATTTAAGTTTTTATATATCAACCCTCCCGTTGTTTACAAATTACAACGTTAGCCCGTTAACCTCCCAGGAAAACCCGGGGTTTCCAACGACAAGATGAGTTCGTTATTATTTTGAAAACTAATGCGCGAATCCATTTTTGAAAATTTGTACAACCATCGTAGTTATTAAATGAAGACGTTTCAGCTAAAATATTTTCGTACTTTATGTTCAACAAAACTTTGACTTAATTGTCATCCATTCACGTCAATAAATCCCCCAACGAAATTAGGAACAACGCTTCCAGGTAACCAAAATTCATATCTAAGATCCAATTAAGGAATCATTAAAAAAGTTGCAACTACATATTGCTAAAGAATATCCAACTTATGAAATAAACTTGTAACTTTATAACTTATAATGAAGCCCTTATGACGTAAGATGTACTTTGACGGACTTACCTATCAACACCTCCATTCTACTGCAGTACATCTGAAACAGGCAAAAATTAGTTTTATTTTACAAAGGATTCAATTTATAAAAACTAACGTTCTAGCTAATTAGTTATTATTTAATTAGGGTGCCTCAAATTGATAGGGGGCGACAATAGTTAATTCAGGAATGAAAGCATAATGATTAATGAAGCTTTTATGGAGTAAGAGACAAAAGCTCAAAATGCATCGCCTTCCATACGAACTAGTGTATTATATACCAAGGACCTAAAGTGTGTGCTTTAATCCCGAGGGTGCAGATCGTTGCCTGAAACGTAGTTTATGAAGATATCATTTCACAGAAAGTGAGATATGTCGTACATAAATGGGTGGTCTGTGTCTCCTTGAAAGTGGTAATTTTTTGCAGTCAAGCCAGATCAACCCACTGGATACAATAAAATTGGGTGGGGGATGATTTGGTTGTCGGTAAATGATAAATTAACCTTTGATTCTTCGGGAAAAATCATTCCTCCCTTGCACATAAAATTACGACTGTTTGTTAAAGATCTGGAAAAAAACTGTCAGTGTTTCCAGCTTATTTATCCAAAATTTCCTAGATTAAGTACCGAAAATCTAGTCAGGCATTTTTGATGAGACCCAAATGCGTCAGCTAATTAAAGACCACTAATTTGGTGGCATCTATGACTGAAGTAGAATACTTATAAAGACAACTGCAAATATCTATCGCTCCTCGTTGGTGAAAACAAAATCCCTAGTTCGGTGCAGAAACAAAAATAGTGAACTTGAAGAATAATTGCAGAATAAGTTGCTTTGATTTATACAAAACCAACGTATTTGACTGGATCGTTCGAATCATCTTTTGCAAATCAAAAGTGCTAAGACATACATTGCGTGAGCTAGTTGCTTTCTTTTTTCTTCCGTCAACTAGTTAGTTAATTGTTTTCTTGTTGTAGTGTAAACTATGGGGAAGAGGTCGTTTCTCTAGGTTGAAATACTGCCGAAGATGAGAGCGAGCCACTCTGTAGTGAAAAATGTACATGTTGGTAACGTAATTTCCGGTTTACGCATTGGAAATAGCAGTCGTAACATCCTGTATGTAAAATTGATACAACCTGGGAGAATTTCTTTGAATACAACATTGGACAATTTGCGAAATTGTCACTTTAATGTTAGTTTGTTTATTGTAAATTTAGAAATTGTTTAAGTCAATTAATTGTATTTGTTGTACTTAGTGAGTATTATAAATCTTAGAACGCATAAGTAAGTGAATATTTAATCGTATCGACGTAAGGTTTTGTAAAAACGATATTGAACAAATTAAGTGGCTCTGTTTACTAACAACGCCACGTGCTAATAATGAAGGCAAGTGTTTATCAATACGGATAACAAAGCAGTATTTCGGAATCGCCGGAACACCGACATCGAACGCATGAGCGGAGGTGGCTTGACCTTTAAAAGATATTGGGAAATAAACGATGCTGTTTTTAGCCTAAGGCACCCTTGCTCTATTGCTGTTTGCGGGTCGATTAAAAAAGCGTAAGCCACTGTTGCGCTACATTATTACGAGCAAGATTTCGCCTATTAAAGAAGTTGAAGTTTTTTTTACGCATGTGTTTCCATAATTGAGAGGACAAAGTCATTAGCTAGCCATCACATACAGATTAGGTTGTAAGTTAGGAGGTAAACGCGCGCTTTATTTAATCAGGACAAAATTGTCCGTCAGTGACGCATCAAATTGAAACTGACATATTTATCTGTCGCAGTTCAAACCAGCGGATCAACCTCTCTATGTATGGCCAGTGTCCAGTTTTTGATAGTGTTGTTAATTAAAAATTGTAACACCCGATCACCAGGTTGTGTGTAAAGTGTTTGGTTTGTCGACAATCATATTCCCATTGTCCCTATGCTATACGCGCAAGCAACAAAATGCAAGGCACTACAAAAATACCATGTGCTTCATAAATAAAACACACGCCGCTGACCGGCCAGCTAGCTCTGTTGATCAAATAGCAAACAGCGGAGAGAGAAAGACTAATGTACAGGGTTGTGGGTAACAGAATTAACTCAATTGGTAATTGGCACTTATAACTCCTCGATCCAGCCTAGGTCGTCAGTACTTACTTTTGGTCGCTTCAATTAAAATCTCTATGGGCGCCACCTAATTCCAAGTTAAAAGTTTCGCTTGCCACTACCGGAACTAGGAAAGGTAGCTTTAGCTTTAAAGTAGGCAACTGATAACCCACAAAAAAAAATGTTTATTGGGTGCAATTGCACCTGCATACGTAACACCAACACAAAAGTTATGTTCCCCAAATGGGAATCAAAAAATCAAGAAAGTATAATAAACACGTTATGTAAAAACTAAACAACCCCAAGTATAAGTGTTGAAATAATTATCCCAAATTCCAAGGTTTACATAAAATTCCCCCAATGAAATATTACATAAATTTAGTAGCTGAAACTAGTTCACACCAAAAATCCTGAAAGTAGGTATAGAACACCCACTACCGTTGCACAGTGATTGAGTTTAATGGGTTAAATTGACAGTGGATTGAATACCTTGATTGGTAGCTTGTAGGGTATCGAAGTTTAAATCATAGTATAGAGCTCTGTACTTCACAGGTGATTTACTTCACATGAGTAAATGCAGTTAATTAACGCAAAATTATTCCCTTTCAAGTTCAAGCGTACTAATTAAGAGTAATATGGGTGGCTCTGGTGTTCGGCCAGTTAACATTTACCACATAAGTATGGGTTAAACGAAATGCAAATACACAAAGGCAATAAGTAGTTTAAACAATAATAAGATATCACCACTACGATAGGTAGGTCTCTGGTTCCTAAGATTCCTGGTGTACGTGTAAACGGCTAACGGTTTTCTATGTACCGCAACAGGTGTCAAAAGGGTTGGTGTCCGCAGTATCTGTTTGGCTGCGCCTTAGAGATAGTAACGTTTCAATGGCAGATTTTACAGTACACGGAACTCCTGCATGTTGTCGTTTAACGTAGATGTGTTTCGCTTAGAGAGTAAGTAGAAGCTACGGAATCGTTGGACTTTGACTCCTTACAAGGACTCTAAAATATAATGTAATTATGGCCACGGTTAACCAAATATAATGCGCTAACCTCTTAAAGCAGAGAGTACACAAAAAAAAGAACTTCGTTAAAGTAAGGTAGCCTTCTTATACCATAAATACGATGGATTCCCCCTAGAAATAGAAAGAAGGTAAAGTGGATTCGATCACACGGAGTATAACTTACGATTAAGGTGGCTTGAAATTCCTCCAGTACAAAAAAAAATTCCTTACGGAAGTTTGTCCCCAAGCATTAAAACGAAACTGCTTGGTGCAAACATTAATTTGGGTTGACTTGGTTAAAAGATGCTTTCGCAAGGGTGTTCGATCCAAAATCAACCACTGGAAGATATAACAAGCACCCCCAACTCGGGATCACAAATCGACGGTCTCTCTAAAGCAGGTGGCGAGAAAAGAAGACGCTAACTTTCTTGTTTCCGGTCACGATGCAAGCGACGACGAATAATTCCAACCAACCACGAGAGCCGATGGATATGTCAATACCATAAATGGTAATATCTAATGCTTATCGATAAAGGAAACGAATTTAAAACCAATGACAGCAAGGTATCGAATTACAGTAAACTGACGTCATTGATCGGTAGATCGAGAAACTAAAACGGGCAGGCAACACAAAAATATAAAAGTAACTAGAGAATTAACATATTGGTTGCATTCAACGATGCGCGAACATGTAATACAGGGTAATGGAAATAGAAATATGACTACAAAGGTTAATACTATTTTAAACTGTTACAATATGTTCTAGAAGAGTTTTAATTAGAGAGCTAGCTAGGTTTGAGGAGTTTTGTCTATGGTTGAATTTGGTGGGGCCATTGCACACAACATTTTTGTTTGGTCGCCCAACGTGGGGCAAATTGTACATCTGTGTAATGGGTCTTGACCTGTAGTTTTTATTATTACTATTGATGCTTATAAATAAAAAATTGTAAAGGGCAGTATAAAACCTAGCACTAGTCGTATAATTTTACGCTTAGTGGCCAGTAGGAGACTGACAAACTGGTCATGTAACGTTTTCAAGTTAAAAATTATAATTTAAAATGAACTGGGTAAAAGTGGTGTTTCACGATGACTACTTAAAATAGGCCAAATGAGAGGACTGAAGTTCGATGCTCTAGAATTGGACTGCTATTTAAAATTATGGGATGGGGGCCCTGTCTTTTACCTATTGGCGTTAGTGTGATACCAGTTCAGTTTTTGACTAAATGTTTATGAGGATTCCCTTGCCTATAGTAAATGAATTTTGCATTGTCAAACGTTCCAAATAAAATTGTAATTATCGCGAACTTAAATAAATGAGAATTTACTTCGATAGAATTTCCTTTCTTGAGATTTTTCAATTTCGTGCAAAATTGTATTGAAAAGGAATGATTTTCTAAGACCGTCCTAGGTAAAATGAATACTTAAAAATAATGTAAAAAATAAAGAAATGAGCAATTCTAAGAAGGAACGCGTGGGTATTCATCCGCGAAAAGTTTGATTCATTACGTTTAACTTAATAAAATGTTTTTTTATTTGCATTGAAAGCGTTTGCTGATTTTTTATCACAAGCTCTCTTATTGATCAAGTTTAAAATGGTTTTGTGCGTTTATTTCCTTTTTATTTGAACTTTTTCTAGATTTATAATATATTTGATTGGTTTAGGGAGTTACTCGTGCCAGCAGTGGACGTTACTTTTGCGAGGCTGGGAATTCGGAGGGAACGACAAGAAGTGCCCCATTTCAGCTTCGTGTCAAGTTTGAACCTGTATGCGGGGAGGGAGGAGGGCGTAAAGTTCTCGGCGCTGCTAAAGGCGAACCTTTGAGAATAGAATGTAAGGTGAGAAAATATCCATTTAGAATTCTTTCTCAGTATGAACATGAAAGTCGATAACTTTCGAGTTGGAAATAAAATTGTACATGCACTTTGAAATCAGTTCGTCGTAGTATTTACTTTTGATTTAGTGCTCTATTTTAAGATCTTACGGAACAGATTTAAAACACAATTTCTCAAGTGGAAGCTATTTTGTCTAATACCGCAAACGCTTGCGGAAGTTATCGATTTAAAACTTTAACAGAAAGGTGTTCTTGGTAACTTTTCTACTATAATCGAGAGCTCTTGGATTGCAAATGTCGATGTTATTTATCGAAATCGTTACGGAGACCGAGAAAACTTAAATAATAAATTGCTGTTGTATTTTCTGTCTTCGCTGTTTAAACGCGACTATAAAATACGGTTTCTGGTTTACTGGCACTAAATGCTAATTTTTGAACAGGTGGATGCCGAGCCTGCGGCCTCACTGTTCCGCTGGATTTTCAACAGCACGCCTGGGGTTTCCAGAGAACTGAGCGAATTTACGGCGGAACCTGGAAGTAGCATTTTGACCTACACCCCTTCGATAGCAGCACACTACGGCACTTTGCAATGTTGGGGAAGAAACGAATTAGGGTCGCAGCAAACGCCGTGCGTTTACCACATTGTTCCCGCCGGCCGGCCGGATCCGCCGAACGGATGTGCCGTTAGTAACACTACCCATCATTCGGTAACGGTAAACTGTAAAAAAGGATTTGACGGTGGTTTAAGACAAAAGTTTGTGTTATTAGTTTCGGTCGCGGAAAATTTAACTGCGAACTTATCATCGAGTGTACCTGAATTTCAAATTTCTAATTTAGACGCAACGACCGAATATATTGCCACGGCGTATTCGGTAAACGCCAAAGGGTGGTCGAAAGCGTCAAACTCAATTTTAATTAAAACTTTGCCGTCTCCAGGATTAAAAGAATTAAGAAGATCTACGGGCCCATCGAACGAAGAGAAAGCGGAGGGGCCATGGTTGTACATATTATTAGCCGCCGGGTCAACTTTAATTGTTGCAGGCGCAATAGGTGTAATTATCTTTGCCGTTAAACGTATTAAAATTGAAAGTCCCGTTCGCGAGAGACGTTCCAGAAGTCCGAAGAGAGATGAGCTCCCTTTAAATCCTCAAGTTTCGGCCTATACCGACACTGTTAACGATGATAAAAATCCAGATCTTATCCCTCCACCGGATTACGGTAAGATTTTTTTTTCGCAAATAGATATTGAATGTTCCTTACATCAAACACCAAACAAAATACTATCTAAGATTCATCACGATTTGTGTGATTATTTTTAACTTTAAAAGCGAAAATCTCCTTCTCAGACATCACCAAGTCTAAGTTTGATTTTTAAATTAAGATTAAACGAACTTACCTTAGGAAGTTCAATAATGATTAAACAAAGCTGTCGTCCGAGTAATCTGTGTAGTAATTTCGCATAGATTTAAACCAAAGAAAGAAAGGTGGGGTCCGAGATGTCATTGATCTGAGAGTAACGATACCTCAAGGCTGGGTCAATGAGGGTGAACCCGATCACTCGGAAGGCAACTTTATGCAATTATGCGAGAACTTCCCCAAAGGTAAGTTCGTGTAATTATATAATTCCGCCCTCATTGCAGTGATCAATATTTAAAGAACACTGTTGCGGTAATAACTAAAGTCTGGTGTAATTGAGGAAGGATCTGGAAAGGTACAAAACGGGTGTATTCAGCATCGGTTGTAATCGCAAACAGATCTATCGCTGGTGAACCAAATTTTTCGGTAATCATGTAAAAAGCAAAATTTTCTAATTTGCATTCATGCGCCATTTCTAATTTATTAAAAAATAAATACAATAAATAAACTACTGGGCGTAGTAGAACCACTGGTAGATTTTGTGTGTTAGGATGAGGAGTCACTGTCGTGCGTACTTGTAGCTGTTGTTGTTGCTGGTAAGGAAGCATCATCATCTTGGACTGAGGCCACTTCATCATCTGAATCATCCTTGTCTCTCACTGGATGCTGCACTTCTTGAACGAGAAGGCGGAATTTTCTTCAATTCTCGACGATATTTATCCTTCTTGTTCTTCCAGTGCGACTGAACGGGTTCTTCTGGAAATGTGTGTTATTCGTGCGTTGGTCTTCAGCTTTCTTGCAACCGGTACGACTTACGGTGGCAACCATTTGACAAATGACAAATGAATGTGAGTACGGAGTGCTAGTAAGATAAGAACCGTGGTGTGAATATAGGATATATTCACTTCACGGTAAGAACCAAACTGTCTATTGAGGGCACATTGGCTATTGCGTAGGCCTGGATCAAAAAACTTCTGTGAGAAAAACACATTGGATTGTCAGGTCCGTGAAGTTGGCAAAGAATTAAAAGCACTAACATTTTCTTTGGTGGTTTTGATTAGTGCTACGTTAGTGCATTTTAGTGCTTCAAATAGTTCGGCAGCAAAATATAATATAACGGAGTAAATCATATTTTAAAATGTTCTTGCTCAATTCACGGTGGCTCAACAATTTGCGAGAATTGCGTTTTTTAAAACATATTTTTAATGCTTCGTTAGCGCTTCTTAGTGCTTCAACAAAGTTATTAAAAAAAACAGTATGTTGCAGCCAACTTCACGCTAGCAAAAAAGTTCTAAGATAAGAATCAAGTTCAGTAATTTTCATTTGCTTTGTTAGTGCCTCTTAGTGTTTCAACAATTTTCCAATTAACTCTGATAATAAAGTTATTGAAAAAACAGTATGTTCCATCCAACGTCACGTCAAAGAAGTTCTAAGCTAAGAATCAAGTTTAGTAATTTTGATTAGTACTTTGTTAGTGCCTCTTAGTGCTTCAACAATTTTCCAATTTACTTTGACAATAGCAAAGTTATTGAAAAAACAGTATGTTCCAGCCAACTTCACGCTAGCAAAACAGTTCTAAGATGAAAACCACTTTTAGTTATTATGATCACTGATCAGTGCTTCGTTAGTGCCTCTTAGTGCTTCACAATTTTTTGATCTATCTTTGATAGTTACGCAGTAATTCTATAAATAACATGTCGCGGCCCACTTCACGTTAGCAGAAGAAGTTCAAAGAAGGGAAGCAAGTTTAGTCATTATGATTAGTGCTTCGTTAGTGCTTCATCAATTTGCCAATTAACTTTGATAGTTACGGAATCCTTATAAAAAGTATGTAAGCAACGAACACTATTTCCTAATAAATATATCTACCTAATAATTTCCTTATATACGTTTGTATTTACAATAATTGTAAGTAAGGATTGTATTAGCAATATGCGAGGAAGTTTATTATAATATACTTTGACCAAATCCAGTGTGGATTTGTAGTTACGAAAGTTTAAGTAAGCTACACCGTTTTTTTTTAAACTTAGTCTATTTTGAAACAGTAGGTATATAAAAACTTTCATAAGTGAATAATTTATTGTCCATAGGTTATAAAAACAAATGTATATTATTACAAGAAATAAATAAAATATTGATTAGTTACAATGTACAGAATATCAAGTGAGGGGTTACTTCCATATCAGAATTTACAATATTCATTTTCTTCTTTAAGTCATACAACTCCCATTTGCCATCTATTCGTCTGCAGAACGTTACAGTGACCCACAGCACTTGGTTCTGACGATAGTGGTGCTATAAAATGACATATTCCTTTTAGCAATAAGGTGTTTTCCAAAACGGTTACGTAAGGGGGTACGTCGGATAATTTAGTATTACAACATCCGGTGGTTTCGAGTACTACGTGATTACAAATACTAATATTGTACTTGTACAACTACACATATTTTCGGAGTATAGTGAATTTCTTTCTAATCCATTGAGAATGGTTTGCTCAATGTTATGATATCACATATTGAATAAATCAATACTTTCCTAATACCAGGTCAATTTTAAAACACCTAGTACCAGGTGGATTCGCCCCAGTGTTGTTTTTGCAGATTTAATACAAAATTAACGTTAAAATGATATAAAAGGGGGAATAATGTGAGATATCATCATTTCGAAAACGTAATAACTATTAATAGAAATAATGTAAACATTTACAAAATATAATTGTATTGAAATGTTTCTAATTTAAAAAAAAATCATTCACATTTATTACATACTTTTATAGTATTGCTGTGCGATCGACACACAATATTATTACATTTGTGACATTTGGATTTATATTTGCAATCTTTCTTCCTTGGGCAAATATGGCACCTTCCTTTACTTTTTAATTTTGGTGGATTTGGTTCTTCTTCGGGTTCTAGTACATTGTCGTGATCTCCCAGTTCTTCCAATATATTCTTGATACTTTCCCTTGTGTTGATGGTTAGAGTGAGCATCTGCTATCAACTGTACAATTTTTCTAGTTCTTGATGAAACTGTGGCCATTTTTAAAATGCACTTTCAAAACTTGCTGTCCTCTTTTCACTTTGCTACCAAGGACACGAATAAAATTTGGATAAGGAAGTAATATGATTTATATAAATGTACACCTTACATTGTGATATAATGACCTGGTCATTAGGTAATTGTTTCAATTATTATTTCAAATATCATTATAAATAAAGCCACCTTTTCTTTCGGAAATGTATATGTAGAGTAGATACAATAGGAAGGTAATGAGAAGATTAGTATTGTTTCCGCTAATGATGCTTTGAATGAATAGAAATTAATTAGGCCCAAATGCAAAACTGCATAAACAACCCGAAAGTGTAATTTCCATATCAGTAATTAAATTAACGTTAAATTTCTAAATAATTGTGGGCAATAATTATATTGCAAATCACCGATACCAAATACCACACTCACTACAATAAACAGACAGATTAACGTATCAATCAGTTGATGACTTAGAGGCGCGACAGTCCCTAATTGCCGTGTAATGTGTAAGTTGCGTTAACCGTATAGGAAACGGAATTACGAATCTCGATTCCGTTTCCTACACGATTAGCTGGACTTTTTTCATCGATAGGAGAAAATTCCCTGCCAATGCAATTTTTTGAAATAGTTTTCCCATTTCATTAGTAGGAGGAAGGGCGTTCCTAATTCTAGTGCTGGAATCGAACATATATTTATGGATGAGTGCAAAGAAGGATGGAGATAAACATTCGTTCCATTTAGTAGCATCTTCAGTTCCCTGACATATAGTCACCGAAGGCCCGTGAGGTAGTGTTGCAGTGGACATATTGTTTGATATCTTCTGCTTCTTTTCTTCTCCTCCTATAGAGATTGTTGCCCCCTCTATCCTCTTTGCCAGTGCTAGATGGAACTCTTCTATGATATGTAGGAACATTCTCAATATCATGTTTCCTGAAGCTATCGCTCGTCTGTCTTTCTTTCCTCTTTCTTTGTGTTTTAAGTAAGAGGCGAAGCTTGTAGCAAGCTTTAAGGTGTATTGTCTTGTCTCCTGAAGAGTCCCTGTTGTTTTCTTGACCATTTTCTTGACTTTTCTCTTTACCGTTATCCGTTGTTTGGAAAAATGTAACCGGGCAACAATTGGAAGAAATTATAACAAATTTTAATGAAAACTGGCCATCCCCACACTGGTTTGGAACTATTGACGGGAAACACGTCAAATAAGATGTTTAGGGCGCAAATACCGGCACTACATTTTTCAAATATTTAAAGTATTTTTCGATAGGACTGCAACTGCAACTGCGAACAAGAAATTACATTTAAAGTTGTCGCTCGAGGATCAGAAAGGGAGGGTGGGGTATTGTAGTCATCGATATTGTTTCAAATGTTGGAATCAAATACTTTTAATGTGCCTTATATACGGTAGGAGAGTTGGCGCTGCGATTTCTCAAACCCGCCGCATAAACGGCCAACTAGCCGAGGATAAAACACAATATAAGAGCTTGAGACTCTTCCACGGCGGTAGTTCGTTTTGGGTAAAATGATTTTCTTTACTTTGGTGCTCAAGCGGGTTGAGCGCCACTCAATTTGAATGATTTGAAATTGAGAAAATACGAGGGAATGACGAAGAATACAAGTCAATTTAGATACCAAAATAAATGCTGGATTATTGTCAACAAATATTAAATAAACTCCCCAATGGGATAGCGTACACAAATATTCAAATTTTCAAAATGATAATTTACGTTACTTACAAATGTGAGTATCTTAACTTTACGAAAGTAAACTCCTAGTCTAACAAAACTCCAATCACGAATGATCGATTAAATTAATTGCTGGATCTTACGTTTGTACCAAGAAATTGATGTTTCGAATACAAATGCGCACCTGTACTGCCAAATAACAGTAAATCATATAAGACGACGCTTACCCTTAATTTAATAAGATGTTATCCAGAGAAGTGAGCTCAGTTCCCAGATCCATAAATCAGCAAACGTCTTTACGAGCTCCTAGCGAGTTCATAACTTTGCGTAACTGTCCGTGAGCACAATATTTCGAAAACGAGCGGACCGATTACGATGAAATTGTAGATGGATTCTTTATCAAATTTGTAGATCGGAGTTCGGGAATTGGTAATGTAGGTCAAAAAATAAAGAAAGTCATATAATACGCAATCCCAAGGTATAGCCATACCCAGGAGCGCGTTTATTTCGAATTAAGAAACGATGAAAATATCAGCATGATTAAAGAAATTAAAGTAGGTAACACTATTAAGTCAGAAAAACGGCATCTACAATTTGCGTGTTCAGCGGCATCTACCACCAATTGAACACGGTGGGGGGGGGGGGGGGGGTTGATGGGTCTATGGCTAAATGATTTACCTGGAAACAGTTTAGATGATCTTCAAAGGCGTCTTTTGGAATCTTGAGATAGTATATCACAAGCTAGCAGATTCGTTAATTTCAAGTCTCGTTTCAAGTATGCCCCGTCGAGTATCTGAATGCGTAAGAAATAGTGCGGAGGATCAACACATTATTAGTGTCGTTTGAATTTGTTGTAATTGTATCATGTTGAAATTTTCATCGTTTTTTATTTCGAAATAAAGACAATTGTGCTGCAACTTGCATCAAAAGTGATCAAAGTACACTGGGTGTATAACGGTCATTTGTTTCGTAGCGTTAGCGGAGCGGAATTACTGGCGGAATTATGGGGCAAATAAACATCACAACAAAGCGTAACGAACATCAACTCAAAACTCCTTTTATTTTCTCTTTGTACATTTGTCTGCGCTCTAAAGATAAAACCAAAACTGAATATTCACGCTATCTAGCGGTCAATCATAAAATATAGAAATAAATAAAGTTTATAATTCAACAACATTGTTTGAAACTTTGAAGGCGCCTAGCAAAGTGTAACGCCTCACTAAAGGATCTGTCTTATTAATTTTTTCGCTCTTTAAACGTTAAATTTAATGGTGTAAATATTTCGAAATGCCTCAAGAACATTTTTTGAACAAACAAAATCTTTTAAAATATAAGGGTTGATTTAGCCCCGCTATTCCTCAGCCAGGTCTGCAATTCTGTGTTTGGGTATTATTGGAGAAGTGTAGGACAAGTTTTCAGCGTGCCTCAAATACCTACTCAAAAATGTCTACCAGCTCTTGGACTATAAGCTCACAAGTACGATAATTAATTGGCCAACCGTTTCAGAAGGAAGTGGTTATTGTTGAATTTAGAAACTATTTCTTAAACTCTGATAATTTGCATTGTTTGATAGAAAGTTTCAGAACGATACTTATGTCTACAGATCACAGTAGAAAACCCTGTCAATATGAAACTTGGGTTTGGACGTTGAGTGACAAATATAAAGAGGCGCAACTTGATTAATTTGGATGAGGTTTATTTCGGTACAGACATATGGACACGCCATTTGTTAAGAGGCATCGAGATGTGTCAGTACCTTAGCAAGTTCGTAAAAAGTAGTCGATTTCCACAGTCGTAGTATCGTTCGTGTTATTTGAGCGACGTTTAAGCATCAGAGTCGCGCGTCTACCACATTTGCATCCCTCTCACTGTAGACAGGGGGGTGCAGGAAACTTCGGCGAATGAGATGAGGAATATGTATCGCAATTTTACATTATAGTTGCGCCTTTTACTATTTCTCACTCAATGGTTTGGAACAATTTTCTTATTTTTATAAATATGTGGAAGTTGATGGCGAAATGGTCGACGGCGACGGCGAAACGTCCTAGACCGAAAGGAACACCTGAAAATTTCAAACAATTTGAAGCTCTTATCAAATTAAATAAAAGCAACCATTTCCAACCTCCATCTGGCCTACATTAATAAATGATCGTTTGGTTGTTACTTGATGGCCGTTGCACTAATGTTTGAGCGATATCGAAAACTCTCGAACTTGCCCCAGAATCACAAGTTTATGAAAAAGTGGCGTACTTGTGTTCGATCGAATATCCAGAATTAATTCGCTACCTAACTTACAACCATCTCTAGGAAGTGTGAAGCACCTGTAACGACGCAGCATAAGGCAGGGGGAGGGGGGGGGTCTTGTAAACATTCTAAACACGACACGACTTAAACCCTCTTTATAGGAGAATACAAGTATACTGAAAGCACCTAAAAAGAAAAACGGCAAAATCATTTTGTTTAAGTATCAACACTTTCTTTCAATCATTGAAACCCATTTTCCAGATACCTCCTGAGAGCTTTGTACAAACATATATTTTGTGAAACTTTCTAGAACTTCGACTGGAGTTGTATTAAAAATATTCTAAACACGACTTGTTTTGTTTCCTTCATTAGTTGGAGAGGTGTTACTTTAGAAGTTTTCACTATGTACCTACGTGACAAGTATGAAACTCCTCAACGTCTTATTTATTTGACGCGGCACAAGAAAAATTCCACATTTTTGTCGGTTTTTATTCCGCAGTTTAAAAGTTTATAAGGTGCAGGTGATGACTAGTTATTGGCAGTAGGTAGTGTTGGAGGTTTAATAAGCTCAATGCAATATGATGCCCTTTATTTTATGTAACGCGTTTGCAGCCATTGAATGGCTAATCAAACAGATTTCTGATTTAAATTACCCGAATGGTTATGAAACCTCAAATTATGACTTGCCAATGTAACCTCTTGTACAGAATCAAGAATTCGCTTTAATTCCTATTCCACATATCGCTTCTGTCTTTCGTTCTGAAATAGCCAGCATATTTAGTATTTTTTACATTATTGAATTTTGCTTGAAGGCACATTTAATCTCTTTCCTTTACATAGGAACTACTCTCTAATTCGTGGATTGGGGGTACAACACCTAATGAATAAAAATTTCGTTTTAAAACAATTTTATTTTCTTTTGCAGAGCATTTGAAGTAAATGTATTCCTAACATTTCCAATTACGATATTCCAATTCGACCAGCTACGTTGAAAATACGTAGATACAATTCATCAGGACAAGAGGCATAAGATATAAGTTCCGCGGTTACATACGATTCAGGAAAATGATGTACTGACCTATGTGCTTAATAGTTTAAGTGTAGTAGTAGTGTAATATATGAAATTATAAACAGTACATTTTACGAAAGGCATAAAAAGTACAGGTTTTACAGTCCCAAGACTGTTACACAGTCACATTAAAATTGTTATCCATTTACAATATCTAATTTTATTGGTGTCTTGAGGTTCTGATTTTTGTAATTTGTTGATATTTATGGTACAGGTGTGTTATGTTACAAATAAGCCACGCGGGAGCAAATGAGCTTCTCACTTTATCAGTTGATCGCGTACGCCACATAAGGGTGTGGCCAAGAACATGTAACATTTTTTACCTATTTATTGTCTAATAAAATGATGACCTTTAATAAACTTCATGTCTTAGATATTTGTCTGTAAAAGCACCATGTAACGCAATACGTGTTCTGTTCTAGAAAGTCTTCATTCAGATCCAACGACCGCAGCTCCTTACACGATAACCGCCAGGCCATCGACGAAAAGGAACTGCGCAACTCAAATGCCTGTGAAACCCTACCACGTTACGTGGGCGCCAATGTTGCAGTCCCGCAACTGCTCTACTCAAACACCTCCTCCGCATAAGGAGAGTTCTGTCTAACCCCACCAGCAGTCTCGGTATCGGGACCAATTCCACCTGTGATATTTGTGAATATCTCGTATTTTTAAGCAACAATTATCAAACACTGTTATGCTGTTAATTATTTACAGATTGATTGTAAATAAAATACCAGTATATGTATTAGATATGCAATTATTATTGTTCCTTCTATATGGTAATTTCGTTCGTCTTGCTCAAAATATTTTCTATCTCTTTGAGTGTACTACCATGTGTGTTTTTTGGATCCGTATTTAAGGAATGAAATTATAAGTTCAAATAAATTTAGATCTCTGTTTTGATGATGCAGTAGGAGTTAATTGATTAAACATTAAATGGGGTTGATTTATAAAATATCAGCCCAGATTTTTTTATCTCTTTGAGTTTGGTGCTACGTGCAATTTGTGAATCCATGTATGGCAGCATGATATTGTAAAGTTTTTTAACCCTAGCCTAAAACCACAAGGTGCAGATAGTGGATAGTAACAAGGTGCCGTCGTATAAGACCACTATTGCTATATGTATTTCAGCCACAATTATTATCAACGTTCACTTTTTATATTAAAGAGTCGGTTTATTTCATATTAAACAATGATTAATACTAAAATTATCATTTATTAACATTAACTTAAACGTTGTTGATCCTTCTAGTCAGTACAGATTCTGAGGTGGAAACGAGCATAAACTCGCTTTTATGGATTTGTTCTTGAATGTGAGGTTTAGTGTGCGGGATCTCTTTAGTAAACTTTTCACCTTGATTAATTTTAACTTGAGCGGCACAAAAATGAACGTCAATATAATCTGACTTTACTAACAGTTTTCTTTATCACAATTTCACGTTTACAATGGATATTAGAGTATCTTTCTTTCGCGGTAAAATGTTTATGGAATTTGCTGAATAGCACTTGATTTTCAATATAGACAGTGTCATAACCAAAATGGAAACTTCACTTTTTCGCGTAATGGTTCCACTGGGGCAAAATGATAGATTTCTAGAACTACTTGATATTAATGGACACTAAACGTCGCTTGGAACTAGATTAACTTTGTCTTCTAAGCTCGGTTATTCCGAACGCCAAATTTACTCGTAATTACTTAGAGCCAGTTTCAAGATCTCCTTTAACTAAAGTCAACTTTATGTCAAAATTAAGACCGCTGTCATGGACGAACCCCTCCATTTCAAATGGAAAATAATATTGAGTTAGAAATTATAAACATTAATGATATTGATATCGTAGCTTGTAACGAATATCATAGAAGTTTGCCTTCAATAGCAAGATTAATTATTCATTAACGTCGACTTTAGTTAAAGGAGACTTTTCTTGATTATGAAACTGACACCAAGGCTCTTAAGCCGCTATACTAAGTTGACTTAAGACGCCTATTTCGTGATGGAAAGTAATGGAGGCGTTAATTTTCATTGGTTTCCAACTCTATGGTCGTCCACAGAAAGAGCTGACTTAACACAATTTTACCGCCTAGCTGACATTGTTAGGGCCTGTTGACCAGTGAAGAGAAGGAAAGGACCGAGTTATCAAGTAGATACTAATCCTAAGTAATCAACATAATGTTGAATCTAAAAATGGAAAATAATTTTATTAGATACAACAACGGTTGCTTTTATTTTAATAAATTTCTGATATTCAGAAACTTGGGCTTTGAATTTTAGAAATTCGAAGGGAGTCGTGAGTTTTAACTGATGAAATGTAAATAAGTAGATTAAAATCACAGAACGTGTCAAACGTGCTTATCATGGTACTAGACAGTAGATAAATTTAGTTACTTTTCACGAGCCGGCGCCTGAAGCGTTGGGATAGGTTTCAAAAAATCATCTATCTTTTCCCATACCCAAAGTTCGGGCGATATTTCACACCCACGCCACTTTTGCATCTGGTGGTACACGGGCAGGGATAAGCTCCTCCCCAAAGAATTGCGTCATATTTATACGAAATAAGTAGGTTCTGAGAAAATTAACCAAAACTAAAATAATACATTGTGACGTTACGCCACTGGTTCGTACAAGATCGGGACGAACCGTAAAACCAGGTGCTCGATGGGACGACCACGTGAGGGAGGAGAGCGTCTTTTGCGGCATCATGTAAAATGTCACGTTTTATCATCTGGTATTATTTTTATTTGTTTGTTTTGTAATAAATAGTATTTTTGCATCACATCACATTATGCTTACAGTGCTCCTAACGCTAACCGTAACATTTCGTATTTTCGTTATTCCTCGCGACGTGTAACGTGTTTGAGTGAAATGAATGGGTGTGGCTTTTAAGGCTTTACTGAAACACTAAAGACTAAACAGTGAATGTGAAACTGTCTTGTTAACGTCTTTAATTACTCAATACGAATACCTGTCATGAATAAAAATCAAGCGACGACAATTCGAAAAACAAAGCGGCTCTCTGGTGCACAGTATCTAAAACGCAAGCTCGAGAAGGATGAAGAAAAGAAAAAACTGTCGCACTCACTTCATAAATACTTGAAAAAAGGTAAGATTATAAGATAACTGTAATTAAATTTATTTAATAATTTTACGATCAGTTGAGATAACCGGATAAGTGTTGTGCGCTGATATATTATTATTTTTGTGGTTTTGCCAGATTATCAACGTACTGATTTAACCAATGAACCTGAAACCAGTGGTATGAGTTGTGCGTCAACCTCCTCAAATGTCGTAGTTTCGGGGGAATCGGGGAATGCCAGACTGGAATCAAAATCTCCACCTTCAGATGCAGATGCCGATGATAATGATAACATTGATATTGATAACAGCGAGTGTAGCACCATTCAACGATTAACACTAACATCAGTTGCATTAGGCGAAGTCAGTTGCAATACGATTCTCCAGGATAGTGTAGATATTATTGAAGATGACAATTTTGCTGAACCAGCTGAAGATGAAATGCAACAAGAACAAGATGTTGATATCTTACCATTACCAGAACCAGAACAACTTGATCTAACTGATGCTGCTTATTGGCCATCCTCCCTTAGCACAAATATTATTGACATTATAGTGAAAAATAGACCCGTGCAAATCCGAAATTTAAATTTTCCAAAGAGTGGATCCGCTGGATCCGGTCGATTTTCAAATAATTACTATAGTAGAAAATTAGCCAATGGCGAGTGTGTGAACCGAGATTGGTTGATTTATTCTAAAAGTAAAGACGCTGTCTTCTGTTTCTGTTGCAAACTTTTTTCGAAAATGCCGATGAAGTTAATAAACGAAGGATACTCGGACTGGAAGCACTTAAGCAACACCTTGTCAAGACACGAAAAGAGTACACAGCACATAGAAAGCTATAAGAAGTGGATCGATCTAGAAAAAAGGCTCTTAAATTTAACAACTATAGATTCTAAAGAACAGCGTCTACTTGAGATGCAAGTCAAATATTGGCAAAATGTTATTGAGCGTCTTATTGCAATAATTCAGTTTTTGGCTAGTCAATGTTTAGCCTTCAGAGGAACCTCTACTAAATTATTTGCACACAACAATGGAAACTTTTTGCAATGTGTACAAATGATTTCGAAATTTGATCCTGTAATGTCGGAACATTTGAAGAAAATTCAGACATTTAAAAATAAAAAAAGCCTGCCACATTATTTAGGATATAAATTTCAGAATGAAATAATTTCTTTACTGTCAAACACTATCCAGATGCAAATAATTGAACTAGCCAGGAAAGCGAAATATTATTCTATTATTTTAGATTGTACGCCTGATTGCAGCCACGTCGAGCAAATATCTGTAATTATTCGCTTCGTTTCCTTAGCCGATAAAGTCGAAATTCGGGAACATTTCCTTGGATTCTATCCCGTTACTAATACTACAGGTCAAGGGCTGTATGACTTTATTACCAAAAAGTTGTTAGATACAGGGTTGGACATTGCAGACCTCAGAGGGCAAGGATATGCCAATGGGGCTAATATGCGAGGTAAAAACATAGGTTTACAAAAGAAAATTCTAGAACAAAATCCAAGAGCCGCATTTATCCCGTGTACAGCCCATTCGCTCAATCTTGTTGTAAACGATAGCGCTAAAGTGACTTTGGAAGTGGTTGAGTTTTTTAATTTTGTTCAAGAGTTGTATACTTTTTTCTCGTCATCAACATACAGGTGGGATATTTTAAAGAAGAATGTATCTAACTTGACCCTGAAATCGGTGAGTGCGACAAGATGGGAAAGTCGTATTGAAGCTATCAAGCCGTTGAGATTTCAGTTGGGAGAAATTTACGTCAGTTTAATTGAATTGCTTGAAGATGCGAGTCGCGACATCGATACGAAACACCAAGCCAAAGTCTTTGCCCAAAAAATATGTACTTTCAAATTTATTTGTTCCACAGTAATTTGGTATGATGTATTATCTAAAGTAAATATCGTTAGTAAGACATTACAAGGTTCAAAATTAAATGTTTAAAATGCGGTTCAAACATTATCTCAGTTAATAGAATATTTCAAATCCCTAAGATCTGAAGACAGTTTCGAAAATTATGTAGAGTGTGCCAAAAATGTAGCAACCGATGTGGAATTGGAAAATTTGGAATTTCCAGATATAAGAACTGTACGACAACGAAAAAAGAAGCGTCAGTTCGATTACGAATGTCAGGATGAACCGGTATTAGATCCCAAAGCCAACTTTAGAACCAACTTTTATTATGTCTTAATTGATAAAGCCATAGGTTCCATGGAGGAACGATTTGATACATTACATCAACAATTGGAAAAATTCAGTGTACTTTTCGACTTTGTCGAATTATCTAATGAAGCGATCAAGGAGAAATCGTTGGTTTTGCAGGAATATTTACAAGATCCAAGGACAGGCGAGTCGGATATTGATTCACAAGAGTTATGCGAAGAACTCGAGTCTTTGAAGATCTTTGTAACCGGACAGCAAACCATCAAGTGTGAACCACTGGAAATTTTAAACTACATTTGCGAAAATAGTTTGAGTGGCTCCTTTCCTAATGTAACAATAGGTCTAAGAATTTTACTGGCTTTACCCGTTTCCGTTGCATCTGCAGAGAGATCGTTTTCAAAATTAAAACTGATAAAAAATTTTTTGAGATCGACAATGTCTCAAAACCGTTTGTCACATTTGGCCATGATTTCTATAGAACATGAAATGTCAGACAAAATTGAAGTAACTGAGATTATCAAACAATTGGCACAGTTGAAGGCTCGGAAAGTGCGTTTCTAATTCTGTATTTCAAGGGCAAATTGGCAACGGGATGAACGAGAAAAACCATCGTTTAATAAACAGGACGTTGACAGGCGAGACTCTCAAACTTCAAGGCAAATCGTGGAACAGAAGGGTCCAGTAGCCACATCCAGCAACCAAGGTAAGCAGCCCATTTGTTATAAGTGCAATAAGGTTGGACACATTTCACGTTTTTGTATGAGAACTTCTGAGGACGCACATCAAACGGAAAACACCCCAAACGTAATGTTAAGTGAAACAGACGGCAACACAGCAATGATTGTGAATACGTGCGAATCACCATACGAAAAGAACGTGAAGTTAGGCAACTTAAATTTAAAAGCGTTATTCGATACAGGCAACAAGAAAAATCTAATTAAGGTTAAATTTGTTGATGCAGCAGGAATTGCGCAAAAGAAAAAAAACTTGTGTGTTAACAGGATTAGGTGGAGCCAAAGTTCCATGTAATACGATGGCCGATTTGGTTTTGCAGATAGACTCGAATAATCATAATGTGGAAGCAATTGTAGTTCCCAATGAGGTAATGACAGTTAATGTTGTGTTAGGTCGAGATTTCCTTCAAAATGTGCAGTGGGAATTCAACGAGAAAGGAATTCTCTTTAAACAGAAGGAGGTGATGGCCGAGGTGTATTCAATCATGAACATTCAAGTTGACAATAATGACATTGATTTGAACATTAATCCGGGTGTCGAGGAAGCAGTTAAGTGTCAAGTGAAACGATTAATAACCGAGTGTGTTAAAAATGGTGATAATACTAACGCGAGTGAATCGGTGTTAAAATTAAAAATTGATTTAAGAAATGACAAACCAGTTCGTTGTGCACCACGGCGACTTGCGTATCATGAACATAAAATCGTTGATGACATTATACGCGATTTGTTAAATAAGAACATTATTAGACCTAGTTCTTCGGAATATTCAAGTCCGGTAGTGTTGGTTAAGAAAAAGACGGGAGAATCACGAATGTGTGTAGACTATCGCGAGCTTAATAAAAATGTAATAAAAGACTGTTTTCCCCTACCTGTTATTGATGACCTCATAAATCGGCTGGCATCAGCACAGTATTTAACAACACTCGATTTAAAAAATGGGTTTCTTCCAGGCCCGTAGCTAGAGTTGGGCTTTAAGGGGGGCAATGATGTTCTTAAGGGGGGCGTACATTAAGGTATACCAAAAAATTCGAAATTAAGAAAATTCTCTATAATTTGTGTAATAAACATATAATTGAAACTAATCCACTCTGATCCGAATATCCTAATTTATAATGATATACATTATATAAAATAAAGTAAATGTAAACGAAAACGCAACTGAATATTATGATGGAAACAATTTTAAAAAGTGCCTTTCACAAATCACATACATACATAAGACTGGCACAGTGGCACATAAAACATAAGTTTTTAAAATAATTGAATTTTTCTGTTTTTCTTCTGATTAAACTTCCGTAAAAATATCATCATATTTATAAAATTGGTTCTTTCCTTCTCGAAAGCCAGAAATACCAGGCTGGAAAGTCTTTGATGGGTCATCGATACTCGCTGAGGTCTGTTAATTCTTGTTAAAAAAGAAAAATTAGATTCACATAAGGCCGTACTGCAAGCAAAGGTTCGAACTGAAGCTAACATTTTATACGTGTTTTCAAAAGCTTGTCTTTGATTATACATTTCTTTAAAAATATTAGGGTTTTCAATAGTCTTTAAATATTGTTTAGCAACAATAAGTTCTTCCTTACTAGGAAGAGATATTCCTACTGAGGAAAGGTAACCAATGTTTTCATACTCTAAATTTTCTGCAGCTTGAAGTGAATGTTGTTCACCATTTTCACTAAACCTTCGTTTGAGTTCTAACAACATAACGTCTAACACTTAAAAAAATACAGATTTTAGATTGCAAGAGTCTCTCGAAGCACCAGTTGTTTCCATAACGACACAGTCCTTTAAGGCCGTCTGACACGATGCTAAATTTTTGGTAAAATTTGTGAATAGAATTTTATCATAAAAAATTTACTTCCATAATTTATTTAACAAAATTATATTGTCTGACACTGTACAAAATTTATCATAAAAATTAGTAAGTGCGTCTGCGCTTTGCATTTTTTTTCTAGGGAATATGGGTTTTTAAGTCAATAAATCTGGTAGTGGTACACCTACACATATAAATAACAAAAATAACATAACCTCTTCTAGTATTTACTTTTTTGATTTTTCATTATTTCATATTATTATCTATTGTGCTACTACTGGTAATTGTAATGAACCGAAATCTAATCGCTAGCTCGGCACTTGCCGCAAGTGTCATTGTCATTATGTCTTGTCTTCTAACAAAAAGGCGTAATAAACGTACTCGAATTTGGAGCAGGAACTGGCTGCAAAGGCGAAACGAGGGTCGTGATGTTTTAAACATGCTAAATACAGAACTTTTACCCGAGGATCCAAATGCATATACAAACTTTCTGAGATTAACTAACGATCAGTTCGAATATTTGCTGTCGTTGATATCAAATGAAATATGCAAACAAGATACACTAATGCGAGAATGCATCCCTTCCAGAAGCAAGTAGGTGATTAAAAAATTAATCATAGGCACTCACTTGTGCTATCATTTTAGATTAGAAGTTACCTTGCGATTCCTAGCAACAGGCGAGACATACCGATCCCTTATGTACACCACTAGGATACATGAAACTACGATAAGCCGCTTTATACCTGAAGTGTGCCAAGCCATAGTCTTGAAATTAAAACCAATCTATTTAAAAGTAAGTTATAGTCCGTATATTATACTGTCAATTTTTACGATATGAAACCTGGTATAGGCACCAAGAACAGCAGAAGAATGGAAAAAAATTTCTCAAGATTTTGATCAATTATGGCAATTTCCTCATTGCGTGGGAGCTCTTGATGGTCGCCACATCACTTTTAGGGCACCCATATCTGCTGGCTCGTATTATTACAACTACAAAGGTGCAAATAGCATTGTGTTATTAGCATTAGCCGCTGCCAACTACAAGTTCATTTACGCAAATATAGGTGTCAATGGACGAATTAGTGATGGGGGTGTTTTTCAGAATAGTAGCTTGTCAAGGGCACTACAAGACAATTCTTTGAGTCTACCAGCCCCAGAGGTATTACCAGGAATGACAGAAGCTTTACCGTATGTTATTGTTGCCGATGATGCCTTTCCGCTGTCAAAGAACCTATTGAAACCCTATCCAGATCGTGGACTCGGCAATGATAGCAGAATTTTTAATTATCGGTTATCCCGTGCTCGGAGAATAATAGAGAATTCCTTTGGAATTCTTGCAAACCGATTTCGTCTTCTGTTAAATCCAGTTAATTTAGATGCAGAAAAAGTAGAGTTGATTACACTCACTTGTGTAGTGTTACACAATTTTCTCGCAACAGACAATGCACAATCATATATTGAACTTGAAGAATTTAATGAAAACTTGCCGAAAATAAATCGACAATGTGGTAACCGGACATCTATTGCAGCAAGAGATATTCGTGATCATTTTAGAAGTTATTTTAATTCTTCACCAGGTTCGGTGCCCTGGCAACAAAATGCAATAAACAATTTTAATTTGTGAAATTCGTTTTTATTTTACATATGCCTATTATTAACAATAAATACTACAAATTGTTACATTTTTTTAGGGCATCAAACAGTGTGTGTACAATTTTTTCTTCTGTCTGCAAACGAATGGATGTATCAGTAATTCGTTTTAACTTCGACACTATAAATTGAGCCAATGCCTCATCTTCATCTACGTTTTGTACAAAACTTTGCTGCATTGTTGATGAAATTGATGCTAAGGCACTAGATGCTTCACGCATTACATTATCTTCAATTGTTTCTCGTTTTCTTTTCTTTTGAAATTGCAGTCGTTTTGATGGAGTAGCACCATCTACGTCTTTTACCGGTGAAATAGGACGAGAAAGATTTGGTGAATTCAATTGGGAGTCGCGAACTTGACTCGATCCCGTGTCCAATGTATTAGTAATATCGTTGAGACTACCATCTTCTGTCACATAGTACTCTGATGTTACTATCTCCTCGTCGCCTACCTGCGGTGTGTCATCTTCTGCGATTAAGCTATCCACGGCTTGCCGCACTTCGACATGTTCTAACAAAAAGAACATTCGGTTGAAATACCAAATTGTTGGTTTGTAAATCTGCAGGAAAAATGTATAGTTAGTCAATAAATTAGATAATATTGAAGGTTTTGCTTACCCCGTCACCATCTTCATCACCTGCTCCACTACGGCGGCTGCGATTCCACTTCTTGTATTCTGTGAGAAAATTATTCTTCAGTCCGTTAAATTTTAACTTGATATCGTTGATGGTAACAGACGGCTTAAGGGGTTGCAAGACTGCTTGAATTTGCTGTAAAGCATTCTGTCTAGAATGTTTATTTTTATACTGTGCAGATTTTACTGCATATAAACATGCATGTCTTTGACCGCGACCATGACATTGTGCAAATTCGTAATTTAGCACTAAATAAACCGCTCTCGTTCTTTCGCAAAAACGCCCAAAATGAGAATAATTGAAATTAAATTAGATAGGTTATGTGATATGTCACCTACGAAACGCCGAACCGCGTGCGCATCACGTACGCGCACATTTTATAACAAATTTATGCATTTTTTAGAACAGGATCTAAAAAATTTTATACAAACAAATTTTGTAACAAATTTTTGTACAAAATACGTATGACACTATGCAAAATTTTGTATGAAAATTAATCTGCAAAATTTTGTACAAAATTTAGCATAGTGTCAGACGGCCTTTAGAGCGGAATTAACTTTTCTGCGTCGCTTATTTTCTACCGGTTCGGCTTCAGCCAGTGATGTATTTGTATTATAGTCACCACTGGTACAAATCTTCCATATTTCTTCAAACGTTGCGTCATCCCTAAACCCTTGAATTACTTCAATGAGCGAGTCGGTAATTCTTGCCGATTGTCGAAGATCTGTTTCGCGTGCTTGTAATAATTTGTCTGCAGGTTCCAAAGCATGTAACACTTTATTCATAAAAACCGCACAAAATTTAAATGGGCGCATTGTAACAATTCTTTGCAAACCAGTAGCCGCAGCAACTTTGTCTCCTGGAAAATCTTTCTTACCAATAGCTTCATTTAGACAGTTTACGATTTCTTTATAGTTATTGCAGATTACACTAGTCACATGTAAATGGCCTGACCAACGTTGCTCTAAAAGTCGACTCAAAGCATGTCCTTTGTATAACTTGGCTACGCTACTTTGTTTAAGAAAGTGATACAACATGGTACACTGATCGAAAAATTGTTTGATTGTGGGAATATCAATAGACTTGATTAAAACCAAGTGAAGCCTATGATTTGAACAATGGACATAAGGAATAAAACGATTTAGTTTTTTTTGAATTCGCGCTTGAACACCCCCATTCTTTCCACTCATAACTGACGCTCCATCAAAGCACTGGCTAAGCAGGCGGTCGCTACTTATTCCATATTCTTGGAGAGTATTTAAGGTCAAGTTTGTAAAAGTCTCGGAGTCCAAATCTTCTGTAGTTTTGATGCAGAGTATGGATTCCCAAACTTTACCTTCTCTTACATATCGAATCCCAATTGCTACATTTTCCCTATTGTTTTTATCTTTCGTCCCATCTTCAAGTAAAGTAAACCATGGAACATCTGCATTATTAATATCGTGTATGATGCTATCACGAACGCATTCCGCCAACACCTCTATGACATCATTTTGTATTTCTGGAGACAAATACGTGGCATTTTTGGGCATTTGATTGTGGCATTCAAAAAGTGTTTGGTCTTTTTTTAATGTAAATTTAAATATATTTGTAAATAAAGATTTTTCTTCGTGTTCGTCAATATCGTAAGTACCCCTCATTGGTAGTTCATTTGTAGCTAGAAGCTGTATTATTTCGGCGATGGAACTGATATAATACCTATTACGTTCTAGAACATTTTCATTCACTAAAGTAGAAACAGATTTTCCCAAAGACTCCCTAGATTGTTTTTCTGCCCATTTTGACATAGCTTGAATATGAATTTTAGCTGAATTGTGCTTTGCTAAACCTTTGAAATTGTCGAGAGCATGCTTCCAGTTCCGAAAACCACAAGTACCAAAAGTATTGTCTTTTGTAGTACTACCCATCATAAACTGCCTACATGCATAGCAGTATGCAGAATCAGTAACACTCGAGTATTCCAGCCACTTATATTTCGAATACCATTCTTTCCTAAAAGTCCGACCAAACTTATCTTTGGGATATATTGCTAAGGAAAGTTGAACAATATCCATACCTTGAGAAGCTAAATCTGATGGAAACGGCAACTGCTCCTGTACCTGTTTGTTTTGTAATGTCGATGATGGAGGCAACTGGGATGGAAAACTTTCACTTTCACCGCATACAAATGTTGAAGAAGCACTTGAAGTGTTTTCACCCGAAGTGTTTTTTTGTTTTCTAATGATAAACTTATCCATAGTTCACAATAATAACAAAATTGTATCTTAGGTAATTAGACAAATATAGCACTATCAAAAAATGTCACCACAGACGTTAACTGCGCGTTTAAATAACGGCAGAGACGAGACTACTGACTAGACTCTATAAATTAATTTGACCTTGACGTATCGGTTATCGTATATTCGTTAGCCCATTCGTTCGCGGCGCCTGCGGCTGCGGCCTAAACACTCAAACACTGCTGACTGAACTGAACAGCAACCAGTAACTAATACGAGACGTTAAAATTTTTCGTAGTTCCGCCTCGGTTCGGTCTTGCCGTTTGTGTTTGGAAATCAAATTTACGACCGGTTCTCTTAATTTAATCCTCATTTGTCGCTAATACTTGTACCCAACGCTGCAGGTATATTACATTTGAAGAAAATGTAGGAATTATCTATTATCCTGCTTGCCTTTAACTACTTAATTTTATGACAATTCTCTATTATTGTAGTCACGTTTGTCCCTCTTTACTTAAGCAACCAAATATTTTTAAAGTAGATCTCTCCTTATTGTTTTTCAATTTCAACTGGTATTGTGATAATGTGATTGTGCTATAAGTTACGTCATAATTGAAGGGGGCGCTTAAAGTCTCTAGGGGGGGGCTCAGCCACCCCTGCCCCCCCTCTGGCTACGGGCCTGGTTCTATCACATTGACATAGCTCAAAATTCTGTAAAATATACATCTTTTGTAGTTCCAGGAGGGCAGTACGAGTTCCTGAAGATGGCGTTTGGATTTGTGAACTCGCCAGCCGTATTCCAACGGTTTGTGAGCTTCATTTTCAGCGATCTTGTGAGAGGCGGAAAGCTGCAAATCTACATGGACGACTTACTTATTGCAACCAAAACGATAGCAGAGAACATGAAAATTTTGGAAGAGGTATGCCGAGTAGTACAGCTCCATAAGTTGCAGTTGAGGTTGGACAAGTGCTCCTTCTTAACGACCTCCACAGAGTATTTGGGATACAACATTGAAAACGGGCAAATTAAACCTGGGAAAAACAAAACCGACGCGATTCATAAATTTCCTCTGCCGATAACGCTGACGCAGTTAAAATCATTTTTGGGTCTCGCCAGTTATTTCAGAAGATTCGTGAAAGGCTTCTCGACAATCGCGAAACCATTAACCGATGTCACCAGAAGTAGTATATTCAAGTTTGGTAAATGCGAGGCCGACGCTTTTGAGGAACTCAAATCACGGCTAGTCCAAGATCCGGTTCTTAAAATATGCGACAGAGATTTGGAAACTCAAGTACACACCGACGCCAGCAGCCGGGGCTTCGGTGCGGTCTTGATGCAACGTTCGCGGGAGGATAACCCAGTTCCATCCAGTCCACTATTATAGCATGAAAACCTCGGAATGCGAAAGCAAGTACAGCAGCTTCGAGTTGGAGTTATTGGCCGTCGTTAAAGCAATAGAGAAATTTCGCATTGTTAGGAAAGCATTTCACCTTAATTACCGATTGTAATGCGTTAAAATTGGCTCTTAAGAAAAAAGAGATTAACCCAAAAATATGTCGCTGGGCATTAAGTTTGGAAGAGTTCAACTACGAGGTGGAGCACCGTAAAGCAGAAAAAATGCAACATGTCGATGCACTTAGCAGGTGCTATGTCGTGAATGAGGTTGATTACGCACAAGACCGAGACATCAAAATTTTCCAAAATAAGGATGTGGAATTGAGTGACATAAAGAGGCGTGTACAAAATGGAGAATCAATTAATACGTTTAAAGTTGAAGATGGTGTACTTTTTTATGAGCGAAATGAGAAGCTGTTATTGGTTGTCCCGAGGCTCATGAGAAGGGAAGTAGTAATGCGGATACATGAAAGCTTATCTCACTTGGGTGCCGAGAAAACCATCGCGGAGCTGAAGCGGTATTTTTACTTTAAAAATATGTCGAAATTTGTGAGAAAATGTCTACGAAACTGTCTCAAATGCGTAGAGCATAATTATAAGTCACGGGTCAACGAAGGATTTCTACATTCGATCGACAAGGGAATGCAACCTTGGGATACGCTGCATATTGACCATTTGGGGCCACTGGAGAAAAGTGCTAAAGGACATCGCCATATCCTTTGCATAATTGATGGATTTTCAAAATTTATTTTTTTAG